TTCCCAGTAGAAAAGATTTAAAAGCTTCTATTTGAAAAAAATCAATTAAATCCTAATTTTAAAACATTTTTAAAAGTAATACAAGATTTGGAAAATACCGTACCTTTCTGTTCATATTAGAAAGCTAAGTCATAACCATGGTTTTATTTACTGACATCCCTAGGATACGTTTTCCTCAAGAAGAAAATAAGAATATAGACCACATTTCCCCTTTGTGTTCTCAAAGCTTATAGAATGTATAATATCTTCAGTTTTCCGTTTTAGGGGAGAGAGCTATACAATATGACGTTTTAGCGTTAGCCTTAGGTATCTGGTGCATATGAACTAAAACCATGCAGTTTTACCACCTTTTGAAATAATACAAAGCTAAAAGCTGCATTTTGGACTCTGCCATCCAATAAAAATCTATAGAATTTGAATTTTTTTTCCTCTTTAATAACTAAATTCAGCTAGTGGTTTTATGTTTTTCAGCTGGTATGGTATAAGACATTTAATTACATCATATTAGGTACAACCCAATTGTAATCCTTCAAACTCAGCCAGGCTATAAATTTCCATTCGGCAGTTGGTAAATAACCTGTTAAACAGAATCCAGTCGCTATTTAAAACTCCAATCTCAAATTAAGCTTTTTCTTTATAGGGGAAGGTTAATTTTTATTTGAGCTTGGAGGGATAGTTAATGATGTACATTTTCCTCTGTTTAATCAATATACCCTAAAGGAAATAAATACATACATACCAAGTAAGTGAGATTTTTAAGCCATGACCAAATTATTGGAATTCTAAGATCATTCAATACATAAACCTAAAGGTAACGTTTTCTCTAAGTATTTCAAGCTCTAAAGAGGTAGCCTGAAGACATTTAGTAAGAGGGGCTTGAATCATTTTAATTTTTCTTCTGTAATTACTTAAGCCTTTTAAAAGTACTGCCAATCAATAATAATTCAAAATATGACAGAATTTACCCCAAACTTCTCCTATTTTTTTATTCTAATTAAATGTTATTGCTTCATTGTTACCCATGTTTAGATCTACTTTTCATTAAAGATAAGGATTGATTATAAACCATTATTTGAGGCAAAAGAACTTTTAGATCCATTGACTTTTATTTCATGTTTAATAAACATTTTTAACTGGAAAATTATTAAATTAATTTTTTTTCATTTACCTGAAAAAATATAGGTATTATCTGGATATGAATACACTATTTAAATAGACCTAATACTGGGCTTCACAATTTAAATTTATTTTAGGCAAAGAAAAAAAAAACCTATTTGCTTTTGGCCTCTTTTGCTACTCCATGTAGTCACTAGTCTAGCTAGCTCCTCCTAACTCATTCCTGCTGTAATTCAGCCACCAGGAGAGGTGAGACCTAAAGCACCCTTGTTCTCTGAACTCTTGTTTTTATTGTCAATCAACCAGGTGAAGCTGAATCCCATCCAAGGGCCAAGGCCATATGTACATGTCCTTTATAATAGTGTAATTAATGCCAAGTCATTCATTCCCATTAAATTAATTCCAAAGAGAAAAATCGACATGTACAAGCTGAGTCTTCTAAATAGTCTTAGATCTAAGGTTAAAAAAAAAAAAAGCTGATGAGTTTCCAGGGAGAAAAGAAATTTACTTCCTTATAAATTCAATCCTAAGAACACGTTTCCCTCTGTTTGAAAACGAGTTTCTGGAAATACCACTCAGTATGACAAAACTCAATTTCTATTTCCAGAAAGGTAGATTCAATCAAGGTAGGGAATTTAAAAATATTTGAACTGGAGCAGTGTTTCAAGGCCAGAAAGAAAATAAAGTAAGGATTATGTTTCTCTACCCTATAATCATCTTCCCCGTACACGTAGGGGAAGCCTTGTGAGTTCACGTGATTCAAAGCAGGCGGTTTGTGATTTCTGGATAAAGTGGAGTCAGAGGAGAGCAGATGATGGTGCTGCCTAAACAAAGCTAAATGGATGTGCCACTGATTTCTTCAAGTGGTTATCTAATAAGAGATCGTATGATTTCCAAATGGAGGTGGTTTGTTATTCCCAAAATGGCTGCTATGACTGATGTGGATGGTGTAAATATTTGGATCAGCATTTGGCTGTAGTTCTGCTTTAAGTGTATGGAACTCACTTTGAAGTTTAATTATAAAAGTGCCTGAGTTAATTCAACTATTAGAGAATGAGTTTGCGTATGATTTGCATGCTTAATGTACTAACACCTGAAATGTCCCTGTAACCTCAGCTTCACCCCACTGCCCCCTCCCCCAGCCCTATTTCCAACCCTTGCCCGACAACCCCTGGTGCTCCCAGCTCCTGCCATGTCTGTTTAGGCTGTTTTGAAAACTGCCTGTTGAGCTCGGCCAAGGTACCTCAGCTAAACTATGACAGGGCTAACGTGAAGATCTGATGCTTGGTTTGTGTTGTTACATCAGCAGATGCTGGATCGAAGGATCTTTTGATGTCAGCCAGCTCCTTTTGTATCATTCCACGGAGTTGCGTGCAAACTTCTGTTGTTCTGTTAACAGTGTTACCTGTGACTTCAGTGTACAACGCCTGTTCGCTATGTTGTTGTTGCTTTTTGGGGGGGGGGGAGTGAGGGAGGGCAGGGAGAAAGAGGAAGAAAGTTAATGGGGGAGATTAGAGGATGATTTGCTAGATTTGGGGAGAACTTTTAGTTAAAAACTCACAGCTACATGTTTCCAGAGTTGTAACTATTATCACTTAAAGGTTATTACACTGAGCCTCAAAAAAAAAATATATATATATATTGAAATCCACATAGCCTACATTTTGAATTTTATACTAGTTTTTCTTTTTAGAGCAAATCACGGCCAGTTGAAATGAAGACTTGGAAACATAATAAAGATCCAAATGTTTGAGGAAGAAGGAAAAGAAAAGCTCAAAATAGGAAGTCAGAGGAAAACTTAATTTTAAAATTAATTGCAGTCAGTTGTTTTTACCAAATAAAAATTCATATAAATATTAAAACTCAAGAATGAGTCATGGATGGATCAGAAAGCAGACAAAAATGCTAAAATAGAATATCCCAGGTAGAGTCGTAACAATATCAGCAGTCGATAGAAGAACCAAGCCATATGCAAGTTACAGCAACTAGAAGAAAACTAGCTTACTGAGAAGCTCAGAATAGAGCATGAGAGAGGAGCTAGAGGGGTTCTGATGGGTCACACACTCCAGTGAGAAGCCAAGGAGATAGCATGATACAAGCTTTGCTCTTCCCGTGATTGGGGTGACCGTCTTAAAGAGAAAGGCTTCGGGCTTTCTGCCTCTGTGAAAAGGCCCGTTCATTCCTGAGGGGCTCTAGAATTTTCTTCTGGTTTTTCAAAGCCAGCTAGAAACTTCCAGAAGGCAAAGCCTATGCCTAACACTTTTCAGCATTGACAGCCACCTCATATGCCACCTAATATAAGTCCAAGCTGTACAGAGAAAATTGGCATGCTAGTCCTCTTCCCCAAAACACACATCTTATAGAAGCTATTTCTGGAGAACTGTGGTTATTAACCATTTGGGGGTTTCTGTATCCTTTCAGAGAATTTAGTGAAAGTTATGGACTTCCTTTTTCCCAAAAAAACATACATCTACATCCACAATTTTACATTCTTATCCTAGACCCCTTGAAAATCCTACTTAAGAAACCCTGCAGTGTCAACCCATTTGCTAGTACCTTCATAGAACTTGGTCTCTAACCAAGGTTTTCCTTGGTTTTGAAGCTCATGAGACTGTTTTATATTCTTTCAACTCCTGAGAAAGGTTATTTCTCATAATTCTGTAAGACCAGCCAAATCCAGGGTAGAAAAGGGTGGCTTTGGAAATCTGCCAAATTGTCTAGTTTTTAGTTATGTCTATTTGAGAACTGAATCTTGAAAAATCAGGATCTTGACCAGGGAGAAGAGTAAGACATCTCCCCTGTGTGATACCTAATCAGACTAGAGCCCAGAAAAGACCTGCCGACACCGGCCTCTGATGTTCCAAATACTTACACTAAACCGGTACACAGGCAGACCGCATATTTTTGCACTTCACTTTACTGAGCGTCATGGATGTTGCGTTTTTTTACAAATTGAACGCAAGCCCTCCCACCAGCAAAAAAGATTACGACTCTCTTTATTGATATACTTTATTGCATTAGTCTGGAACCAAACCCACATTATCTATGAGGTATGCTTGTCGTAGTCAAACAGGTCAAGGCCAACCTCATGAAAAAAAAAAGATAAATAAAATAATGGATGGGATATCCCTCTGTGTTAGGTCTGCCTTAGTGGACATATGTGTTATATGATATCCCATCATAAGTGAATACGCTTGTATTTGTGAATCAGGATCCTTAAGTACACATGTCACATGTAACCAAACTTCGTATTTTGATGTTTAGTGCTCCTGAAAAGGGTAGCTGAGTACATCCAAAACAAGCACAGTGGCATTATAGCAATACAAATGAATTCAGGTGAGTGAAACTAGTTGTCCATTAGTAAATCTTTCTTCTACACTTGAATATCACACAGTACCTTCTCCCCAGAGATAAAATTATTCAAAGGACATGGTGCATGTCATATTTGGGAACTGAAATTTATGGAACTGAGCATTCAGAACAGAAAAGCAATTCAAACTAAAAAATTTCAAATGGTCAGGTTTAAAAACAGATAGAAAATTCTTTCAGAGATGGATGTTCTTTTCTGTTGTAACAGAAAATTATGAATCATTACACCATTTATTAATATCTTCTTGTTTTATTTTAAAATTACTTACCTTAGAGTATCATTCTAAAAATAGAAAAATTCAACTTCTTTCACACCTGAAAAATTAACTCAGCTTTGGAAAACATGGTAACACATATAAAACCGTAATAAGCAGTGAAAGTATTCATATACATATAATACGCACAAATGTATTTGCACATTTCATGCACAGGTGTATAAGGTGAACTCAGGCTAGCTATAGGGGATGAAATTTGCCTACTGCTCATGTTACCTCTAGAATAAATGTAATTTTTAGACAGGAGACTGGGGAGAACCTTCCATTACCTTGCGACCTCCAAATGAAGCTACAGCCTCAACTCCAGTACAGTACTGGCAACACCACCCGGAGAAGCTCATCTTCCAGTCGTGTGATTACAAGGCTTTTGTAAGTGACCCTGAATTCAGTATTTTGGTGTAAGCAGGGATAGGTGGTATATTTCTGGTTTCTTTACTTTCATATTGAAAATATACCAGAATGTCCATCGTCTTAAGAGATTGTCCCCTTCTCTCTTTTTTTTTAAGTAGCCTTCTCTCCACCGAGAAAGTCCAGGTAGCTTTATGACCCTTTTAACCTTGTAAGCTTAAGGCCTGTTTTGCCTTCTTCTTATAGAGTTGTAAATGTTAAGTGAAATGTCATAAAGTGAAATCTTTACATGAGAATGGGTATAAATATAGCACAAACAGGCATTTCCATTCACCAGTGGTCTCAAAACCTTGGATCTATCGCATTATATAAATACGAGATTATTTTCATTATTGTCATTAGGTTTATATTCCTGAGTATTTTTTTTTAATAGGAGAGGGAATCAAGCTTAGCTGAGAACTGAGAGTGACCTGAACAGGTAAATGTTTAAAAGATTGACCATAGATTTGAAAGCAAGTGGCTGTCATGCCTACAGCAGGAAAAAGTGGCTGAACCCTTGGCAGCACGTTGAAATGGCCTCTCTTAAAAAGAAATGTTGCAATTAGGACAAACTTTCCTGATACCTTAAAAGTTAAGGATTTCACCAAGATCACTTTCCTTAATTAGACATGGGCATGCTGGTTATCTCATTGCCTTTTAGGCTTTTTTTTTCAGTTTGTGCTTGCTTATCTTGAAGCATTAGATTTATTTCAATAGCAATCTCCCCAAATCTGTAGAGTTGAAATGCCCCCTTCTTCCTCCAAAGTTCAAATGCCAAGCCCCTGAGACTTTCTGAGCATGCCTTTGACCAGGCTTTCTGCCACTATGTCCCTTGCACATCCTCTGCAGATCAGGGTCTTCCCGGGTCTGCAGGACAGGTTGCCAACCCTGTTTTTTGCAGAGTGCCAGGATCTCCTCGGTCACATCGGGCAAATAATTACTTTAATTCACTTAAAAAAAAAAAGACACATAGAGCTCTTTTTACTTTATTTTTTTAAGGAAATTAGAGAGGGGAAAATGACAAAAGGAAGCAACCCTGTTGAAGTTTCGAAAAGTTGAGGAGTCAATTAGGTAGAAAGGCAAAATAGACGGTTTGCTAAAAAAACAGTTTGCCCCCAGCCAGAACATGAAGCATGAGTGACGTTTTGTACCGAGGCAGGATTGATTCCCGTCACCTAACAGCAAAGGGGTTGGTGATTTCTGAGAAGAGAGTTGCTCATTCTCCTACCCCGTTCAGCCCTCCAGTGTCAGTTTCCACCAGGGCCTCAGCCTCGTCTGCTGTGGAACAACTTAGAATGACGTTCTCCCTCCCCGCACACGCCCATCCATTCTCAGGTGGACCAACCATCATAGGGCACACAGCTGTGAATAAAAAAACGTCCAGAATGGCATCTCTGCCTAAGAACAGCCTAACTTTAATTACCTATGCAGCCAACTAAGCCCAAATGGGGTGAGTGTTGCTCAGCTTCTCAGCTGTCTCATACAACCCTATAATTACATAGATGGTAGGGTGATTTATTTTTGCAGACATTGCTGCCTCAAAAAAAACAGGGAAAACATTTTTAGATGCCCCCATTTTGCAGTTAAATATGATTTGAAAGATGGCGTCTTTAGAAAATGCTGCAGTTTTATGATAAAGAGCAATTTGTAGCTTTCAGAACTGTGGTTGACTCGGCTGCGTTCTCTCTATAAATGCATTTATTTGTTAGGATTAGTTACTGTTCGTTTTTACAAGTTGTGCAACAACTTACAGCCAGGAAACCTAGCCAGTAGTACTTCCACCGTTTGTTTTTAAATCGCTACTCATATTTATACCTTGTTTTTCATAAACCATTGAATTTTTTTGTATTTTAGTATCTAGGTTCTATGCTGATAAAAGAGCTCAGGGGGACAGAATCAACCCAGGATGCTTGTGCAAAAATGCGGGTGAGTTTGCCAAATGATTGTATTCCTAGTCGCTGAAATACTAAATACTGGGTATGGATACAAATTGCCACTTTAAAATTACTATTTTCTTCATCTGTTGGTCTGCTAAATCACATTGGTGTTACATGAAACGGTGCTAGGGCTTTGTTCATGTTTATACTGGAGCTTATCTCACTGTGGTTTGAGTTGATGTCTATTTGATATATTTATACCGTATTACATTTACTCTTATTTTTAAAGATCTAAAATTGTATATACATTGATCATTCTCCAGACTAGGATAAAAATGATCCTTAGTTTATCACAAGGAAATGTTTTAAGCACCCACTTGACAGTCTGAGAATACTGAAAAGACTGCCAATTAACTAAAAATGTTCAAATGCAGAAGTATTGAGAGCATATTATATAAAGCTAAAATTCTTTCTGAGGCTTAATTATTCTTTTTTTTATTTAGTATAAGAAACATGTTAAACTCTTTGAGTTGAATCTTGTAACAATACATGTTGACAAAAACAGCCATTCCAAACGCCTGTGATTGGTGACTGCTGGGTTCCTAGGAGCCTGTATGAGCCAAACCGAATCCCACTCATACTGCAAACCACGTTAGCTTTGTCTTTCGTGGTCCCTTATCCTTGCTTCCTCCACAGCAGAGGTATAGGGGTTATAGCGATATCTGACTGACAGTACAAATTAAGAATAGTGGACTTATTCCACGTAGCAACTAACTAGAGTCAAATTTAAGATCATTAGCAAATGAACTCTAACTTTATTTGTAGCCAGTAGACCTTGTCATTTATTTTATATGAACAGCTTTGTGTGGGAAATATTGAAAAGCATATAATTGAACTAAAACAGTTATAAAAGTAAACATGTAATACCCATGGCTCATAAAAGCTAAACCTGTGTGAATCTTCATGAAATTGAGACCTCAGCATGTGATCGCCGATTTAATATTTTGATCAGTTCAATAGGAGAAAGACTGAAACCATTATCCCTCTATTTGATGTAGAGTTCTACTTAAATTGTCAGTACCAATGAATATTTATTCCAGGTACTGTGTTTAGATGGGAAAAACCCTGATATGTGTCAGGAACTCTAAATTCTAGTTCTGTTGCTGCTTTCTTGGCTCAGGAGTGACTTTTTAGTCATAATAATAACTTAGTAGTTACCGTGCGCCAGCCTTCTGTGCTGAGTCCTGTGCATGTTTATCTTATTTAATATTTACCACAAACCTATGAGATTAGTATTATTATTATCCCCAGTTTACAGATGAAGAAACTGAGGCTTAGAGAGGTTAAATTGCTTTCCCCAGGTCACGTAGTGAATAACTTGCCAGTCTGGGACTAGAACTCAGGTCTGTCTGATGCCAGAGCCCAACCAAGCATTTAACTGCTACACCCTCTCTCTTCCCCGGCTTCTCCTGGGCCTCATTTTCTTACTTAGGAAATGAGAACGCTGGACTAGATGCCCTACAGGGTTCTTCCTGGTTTTATAATTCTGGAAATCTTGCATTCTAAATATATATCTGATCTAAATTATGTCACCAATGAACAATAGGAAAATGGGAACATTTTCAGTCATCGAACCTCATAAGAATTTTAAGCCATTCATGAACATAACCCTAAGAAATTAATTTGGCACTTCTGGTTTAGTACTATGAACTCAGTTATCTAAGTCCAGCCACTTCAGCGCTGTAATCAGCATAAATAGTGGGTAGAGCTCAGAGCACCATTTAAAATACACCCGATCTGTGATTTGAATTTCACTCAATTTCTTGAAATTAAATGGATCTGAAATTCCATTCTGATAGCAATAACAAAGCCATTTTAATAGTCTCAGTGGAGAATAATTTAGTTAAATACTTGTCTGTTGCTTCAAATGAAACAGAAACGACCATCTATTTAGAAGCATTTCTAAATTTCGCTGAGGCATTTTTCTGGTTTGCAGCCATTGGTATTTATTTTGAATAGTTTACATGAAAATAGGAACTTTATTGCTTCTTACAATATCACAAGTCCTTATTTCCCATCTACATTAAATAAATGTTAATCTCTGATACGGAAGCTAAAGCTGTACTCATGGGTTCACCACAGCCTTTCAGAGCCAGAGTGTGGGTTTGATCTGTTCCTGGGAACTATCAGATTGTGAATTAGAAGTCTCACCAACTCAAAATGGTGTGGATTTCAACTTGCAGTTAATTTTCGGTTTGAACCTCAAGTTGTTGTTTTCTCTGTTCTGGACATGGTGGCGTTTCAGCCAAAAGTCCCGGTGCAGTCAGGTCTTCCCACGGAAAATACTTCAGGACACAGATGATCTTGAAGGTTGATAGACAGTCATAGTAGGCCAAAGTTTTATAGATTAAAACTTCATCTGGCTTACTCTCTTAATTGGAAAAAAAAACAAAAAACAGTATGCATTTCAGCTGAAATTAAAGTTTCTTTCCCAGTAAGAAGTAAATCAGTGTGGTTCCATATTCTGAGAAATATTTATTTATACGTAGTTTGTTAACAAAGATAACTAAGATTTGGCTGCTGCTTTCACTGAGTTCACAGTCCAGTGGAGAAGTCCAGCATGTTAACATGAATCACCCCAAAGTAGCAGAAATATCATCATACAGGTGTCTTCATGTTGCCATCAACCTGAGGGGTTATCATAGATGATCCCAAAAATGAGACAGACCTGGTCTCCTAAACTCAGTGCATTAAAACTAACAACAGTTAACACTTGAGAGCTGTATGCCTGGCCCTGCACAAATGATTATATGCATTAATTCATTGAATTGTGAGGTAAGTATTGCCATTGTCCCCACTTTATACGTGGGGAAACAATGGCCAAGGAAAGTTATGTAACTTGCCCAGGGTCGCCCCGCCACTTGGTGGAACCAGGATTTGAACCTAGGCAGTTTAGCTGCACCCGCCTGAACCCCAGGCTGTACCACCTCTCTCATAAGCCACTGCAACCTTTATTGTCTTGAGTTTTAAAATAGCTGAAAAGAGGGCCGGCCGAGTGGCTCAGTTGGTTAAAAGCTCGCTCAAGAATGCAAGCTCTGAGCGACAGGGTCACCGGTTCGATTCCTGGCCCGAGCTGAGCTGCCGCTGAGCTGCCAACAGGTGGCAGGATGGCTCAGCTAAAAAAAATTAATAAATAAATAAAATAAAATAGCTGAAAATATAGTCCATGTATGCTGATAAAGAAATAGCTGTAGGCACCCTAAAGAGCTTGTAAGATTAGCACTGGCTAAATTCAGTCATTTAGTAGGTACAGCAATATGTAGAGATTTGGTGTATATTCCAGTGTGTTAACATAAATAAAAAATTTCAGGAGAGTTTTTATTGCATCCTTAGATACTGGAAAGTATTCATCTCTACAACACTAACTTGAACACATTCACTTTGCCCCAGCAGAAACTGAACAGGGTTTTCTCCTCTCAGAAACATTTGGAGTGTTTGATAGTCACAATTGGTTATTTTCTAAGTTATCTAAACCTGTTTATTCA